ATAAAGTTATTTACCGATCTCAGTGTCTTCAACAAAATAAAGGTGTTTTTTTTCGAAACAAACTTCTTCTAGCAAGGTATATGCTGGGTTGTGATATCCCGTATGAAGTCGATAGACAAGTTAATAGGAAGTATATCGAAATAGGGAGTAAATATTCTAATAGAATAGCGATTACTTATTATTTTATCGTTTTTTACCGAGTGTTGCTGAACAATATTTTTATGAGTTTTGAAAATAAAATAATTATTAATATTTGTGAAAGGAGTTGAAGAGCCGCATCTTGACACCAACAGAGCCGCATGCGGCTCGCGAGCCGCAGGTTGCCGACCCCTGACTAGGCCATGCAGTCAGTGTGTACTTATATACGCCGCCACTATAGCAAAATGTCACGGCTGTGCCAATGACAATACCATCACCCATAGAAATAGACCATGAGGTCAGTGTTTAACCATAGACGCGGCCACGACAGCCAATGTAGTTTGATACAGGCCTTGGTCTAACGACACAGTAACAATAGTGGACTGTAGCCGTAACTAGAGCTTGTTCCAGACATCAACCTCGCCCCCCCCCCCCTCCCCGCATGCCACAGACGAAATAGAAAGACACAGTGTAAATTATATAGGAATTGTATACTTAACCATTGTACTCTCCCCTCCTCCGTAAATTTTAAATGTGCAGCCCCCACCCCCCACCCCACCCACCGAAGAGAAAACTGGGTCGTGATGAAACACATTAAACTTTCAATGATCCTATGACTGCATAAAATTTAGGCTTTGTCTGTGTGGGTTTCTTTTTTTAAATTCATAAAGCAGAAAACTGGTGTGTACACTATCAGATGTTTAAAAATAAATAGTACATTTAAAAATGTATAACATTGTTTTTGATCGACAATTTTGATTTATTGTTGTTGCCGTTAGACCATTATTGTTTTTGTTTGGTTGCAACTGGTACGTTATTAAAACATAGCAGCCAAAACTACGAAACAGTGCCTAAATAACTAAAACACACATAACTAATCAATACTAACATGGTAGATTTGAAGTACTGAAATGGGTATTGGACCACGCTATCACAAACGTTTTATACCCGAACAAAAACAAATACAAACCGGATGATAAGACGTGTCGACACAGTTCACAGAACGAGTCGGTGAACATGAACAAACGGGACAGGTTACTCCATACAAACTACATTGTTTTGATAGATATTCCAAATAGCTTGTAAGCACATACAATTACATCAGTATTACATTGCGCATCATCCTTTTTTATAGCGATTTTGTAAGCAAAGTAGGGTACTTAGAAGGTACGGTATTTTCGTATTAAAGCAAAGTAAAAACATTCACAGTCATACGAAAAACGAAACGTGACGTCACATTAAACATATCAATATATATATAATTCTCTTCTTGGAGACCCTAGAAAACACCAAACTGTAAGCGCGCTCCCTACCACCCCCACCCCTACATGGTCTGGTGAGCTGTGGTTCACGCTAAATGTTTACAATCGTAGAGCCGGGAGTAGTGACGGCTATTAGGGGCAGATAATTTAATTTGAAACGATTTTAAACTTAGGGGAGGGTGCTAAGAGTAGGCTGTTTTCATGGGGGGGGGGGTTATCGTCTTTAACGAGCTACTGACAGTGTTTTAAAGCAAATATATTCAGTGGCAGCATTGGTACTGTCGAATTCACAAATTATGAATTACTGAAAAGTAGAAAATAAAACAACTAAATAGCGGCGTGACGCCGCGGGTTGGTACGTTGTAGGAAATATTCTAAAGCAGGGAAAGTACACACAATAAAATGCCGTCACTGATTCTGGAGAAAACATGCAATTAAAAAGCGATTGCTAAAAAAAATACACAATGATAGTATTGTCATCGATACTTGAAAATAAAGACACTTGCATTACTGCCTAATTCATGTGTCTAATATTAAAAGAGGTTTGCGTGCAGTGTTTCTTTCACGCATCTCTTCAGGTTCGCCCTGCCCCCCCCCCCCAGGTAGAAAGTCTACCCCCCCCCAAACGAAGTATAATTTATATAGAAAATATATACTTTTACTATTGTCGGCCAACTCCGCCCATGGAGAATTTTTTTCGCCCCTCAAAAATTCAAGTGCCCCACCCCCGGAAAAATGTCTGAAAGAAACATTGTCTGCGTGAGTGAGGTCTATCGGCCGAAAGTAGCTCAGGGATCTATATTAATAAAGTAGGCTCCACCTTTAGTATGTATGATCTACACATGCGACCAGTGTTTCTTTAAAAAAAAAATTCCTCCCCGCAAGGGGGTACTTAAAGTTTTCGAGGGTTGGGGAGGAACTTAATTTTCTGGGAGGGGGCGGACACTGGCAAAAGTATAATTTCTATATAAATTCTATTTCGTTGAACGTGAGGGTAGACGTGCTTTTCGGTGTGTTGGTGGGGGGGGGGGTGGGGGTTGGTGGGGGAAGGAAGAGTCTGATTCAATTTAACGTCTCATTTTATCCATTGTCTGTCGCACTGGTTGGAACTGACGACCTAGGCGGCATTGCGCTCAAGTGAAAGCACAGAACGCCAAATCGAATAATGCAGGGGTGTCGAGGTATTTTTTTATTAATTAAAAAAAATAAATTGAGAAAAATCGCACTCTTCCTGTGCGCCGTCCTTGCGAGATTAAAAAAAAGATTTTTTTTTACAGAAACCTCACCTGGAGTGTTCTGATCATTTCCCTAAAGTTTGATTGCGTTCAGATGAATGATGTCAAAAAAATCGCACCCTGCTCGGTGCGCCACACCGGCGAATTTAAATTGTTTAATCTCGCAGAAACCTCCCCAACAGTATTCTCAACAACTTTACAAAGTTTCAGGGCGATCGAATGAAAGGTGTAGTATTGCATAAAAGACAGACAAACATCACATTGTAAATGAAATACTTAAGCTGTACAAATATGTAAAGGCCATATTGCAGTTCCTCTCCAATATTTCGTTTTACCAAGTCTCCTGTACGTTGGAATGTGAGCAGTGTTAGAAAAAAAAACTGGGTCAAATAAAAAAGAGAGAAGGCGTTCACAAAGAAGGGCTCTAAACTTTTAAGACTCGCGACTTATTGGCATTTAAATTAAGCAATTTAAAAAAAAAAATGAAAAAACAAACCGTATATACAATATATAACAAAAAAAAATGTGTGACTAATAATTATAGTAGTTTTTTTTTTTTATCAGCAGGCGTGATACTTAGGATCAGCAATATAGTTAAATAGAAGTTGTGAATTCCTTAAACTATTCTTGCTGTAAATGACATATAAAATAATCATAGACCCGGCTGATAACTGTGAAATTAATAGTTTTTTTGCTAAAAGATTATTTGATGTTTTTCATATAGATTCGGAAAATAACATATAAATGTCTGTACACAAATTTACAAGAATCTTGAGATCCACTGTGAAAACTGCAGCTGCCCAAGAGTTTGGCCTTGACTGAGATTTTCCTCTAGTTCCTGTTGGTGTTATAGAGAAAAAAAAATGTGTGCCAGGATGTTGTTGAAAGATAAGAGGCTTAAACGGAATTTAGTCGTTATCATAAAAGTAAATATCCTGATTTTATTTAATTCAGATTTTAATATTTTTATTTATACATTACGAGTAAATGCGTGGTTTATATTACATACAGTATAAAGTCGATATTAAATAATACATGAGGAGTAAAGTGAATGTTGAATAGTTTGTAAGAGATAAAGTTGATGTTTAATTGTACTAAAGAGTTAAAGAGGATGTTAAATAGTACGTAGGAGATAAAGTGCATACTGATTGTGACGTAAAGGATGAAGTATCCGCTGCATAAATATGTAAGGGTGAAGTGAATGGTGAGTATTACGTTAGGGATAAAGTGCAAATCGTATTTTTATAGTGTAGGTTTCTTTGTGTATGTGTGCGTGTCCTGCTAAGTGTTTGCCTGTAGAGCATATTCGTGTGTGTGTGTGTGTTTGTGTTTATTTTTAATACCCACATGAGATCGGTTGCCAAGCTATTTCTAAGGATAATTATTATTACATTAAAAAAATGCTTTCTGAGAAGAAGCTGATCCTAAAACCTAGTTAGATTAACCTTGCTGAACAAAGTCCGGGTTCGCCGTTAACTGTGAGGGATATTTGAGGTCAAGTCCTGTACACTGAGAATATTACACACAGTATATAGTGGATCAGTGTTTCTTTTTGCTAATATCTCCGGGGGGGGGGGGGTGGCACTAAAAATTTTCGGGGGGGAAGGGGGGGGGGCGGTAGACTTTTTTCGTGGGAGGGGGGTGGGGGGGAGCGAACACTGTTAAAAGTATATATTTTCTATATAAATTATATACATTTCATTTCGTTCTGGGGGGGGGGGGGTAGAATTTTTTCGGTGGGGGGGGGGGTGGCTAAGCCCCGAAGAGATACCTGGAAGAAACTCTGTAGTGGATGTTAAATAGTACGTAAGGCATAAATTGCATGTTTAATTGTACTAAAGAGTTAATGAGGATGCTAAATAGTACGTAAGGATTAAAGTGGATATTGAATAGTACGTAAGGAATAAAGTGGATATTGAATAGTACGTAAGGAATAAAGTGGATGTTGAAGAGTACATAAGGGATAAAGTATATCCTGATTAGTACGTAAAGAATTAAGTGCTAGTTGCATAAATACTTCAAGGGTGAATTTCGTGTTTGAGTATTATGTTAGAGATAAAGTACATGCTAATCGTATTTTTGTAGTGTAGGTGTTCTTTGTGCATTTGTGCGTTGCGTGTGCGTGGCCTGCTAAGCTTTTCCCTGCAGAGTATAATCATACGCACATGAGATCGTGTTCCAACCTTTTATTTTTATTATATAGAAAAAAAATCTCTTTCTGTGAAGAAGCTGATACCAAGACCTAGTTAGATAAACTTCGCTGAACTAAGTCCGGGTTCACTGTTCTTTGTGAGCGATTTTTAAGTTTACATCCTGTACACTGAGACTATTTAAACGGCACTAAGTAGGTGCTGTTCACTAGAGGAGAAGAAAGCTAACAAGTTTATTTTAATTTAATCACCAAGTTTCAGTGATACTATATGTCAACAATGGTCGTCGTTTTGCAGAGTGTAATCTTCATAGCCTTTTTCATAACTATCAGTGGTAAGATTTTTAGCGTTTGAAATATAACAATTAAAGACTATGTAAAACTTTCTTTGTTTTTTGGTAATTAGCTTGATTTATTACAAGCTTTTATTTAACTCACTTCCTCCGTCGTCAGTCAGTCTGTATGTCTAGATAGAAACTGCCTAGTGAAATTGCAGGCACTTCTACCTGACAGATACGTTTCGTAGTTGGAACGTGGGTCAAGACATGAAGACAATGCGTCGTGACATTAAATTTGACTTAATTGGATGCCTAATTAATTTGTAAATAAAAACATGTAAAGTAGTAAAAAAATAATTCATAAAACGATTTAATAACAAGCTTTTATTAACTAATGCACTAAAAAGTTGAAAATAAATTATAGACTACTTTTTAAAAAACTATAAACAAAAGCGTGGGTCTCTTCCTAAGGATTACTAAAGGTATCCTATAGATACTAAAGTGACCCACGCTTTTCTTTATAGTTATTTAAATAGTAGTCTTTAATTTATTTTCTACTTTTTAGTGCATTAGTTCATAAAAGCTTGTTATTAAAACGTTTTTTTGTCTTAAGTTAATTGCTCATTTACGATAGCGTAAAGTATGACGTTTTGTATTTTTCAAACCCGCATTATGCACATAAAAGGGCATTATCATATGTTAAGAAAAATAAATTCTGCTTTTTCCCCAAACCGATGTAACGTGTATTATAACATTGTATTTACTAATAGACATGCACGGGCAGTGCTTCCTAATTTAGTCAAACTTAGTTTTTTCGTCTTTGTTATCAATTTCAGTGTTGGAAGGGATTCCTTACAACACAATTAATTATTACGTGTCAAATGGTTATGCGACCATTAAACCGTTAACTCCGATTTCATGAAGCAGTGATTTGATTTTGGAGTTGCCTCTTCTAGCAGAATTGCTAATTGGGTTTTAAAAATATTAAAACCAGGCAATATATTAAAATAATCTTAAAAATACAAATGTAAAAAAGGAAGCAACAGTTGTTTTATAACTTAATCCTTTATTTAAATTTTTTAGACTTGCTTACAATTATTTATATTACATTGCTGCAACTAGACAATTTTATGTTTAGTCGTTTTACGAAAATGAAAGCGAAAGTCTTAATACATCAAGTAGTAGAGAAATACTAAAAACTTTCAGTCAAAATTCTGCAAATCTTAATTGTCTCTGTTGCTGTTTTAATCATTTTATTTGATCTACTTTAAACATGTAAATTGTAAATTTCAAATACACGACGCATTTATTTGGTTTGATTTTTCTCTCTATACGTTATCGGGTGCAAAATATTTTCGTATCAAATTGGCAGCCATTATAAAAATTCAGAGCCTGCCTTACCAGTCTGTACTTGTTTGATTATACCTTTTGCCTATTCCACGGGGAAAGAAAAAAAAACCCAGCCAACTATCTTGAAACTGTGCTTCCTCTTTATTGTCCTATAAGCCCAGACATCTTACCAATTAGAGCCAGGCAAAACTAAATATTTAATTTTGATGAAGGTAATTTAAAAAAAAATACTGTTATGAAAAGAAACCTAGTTATTCTTTCAGTATACATATATAAAAAAAACTGTGTTCAACACGAGACACTAAGATCTTAACTAACATGCTCTTTGTTTGTTTTGAAGGTCTTAAATTTGACATAAACAGAGAATATTTTCACCACGCCAAAGATTTTTTTTGTGCACAACTCCAGTATACAGAAAACATAAGAGAAGACACTCAGATATCAGCTCTTGTCAACATGTCAGTCTATAGCAGGGGTCTCCAAACTTAGGCCCGCGGGCCGGATGCGGCCCGCGAGGTCCTCTCATCCGGCCCTCGGAGATCTTTTTGTCGTAGGTGACAGTGGAAAAATGCCAACCCAATGAGATGCCTGGAAGAAACTCTGGCCCCCGAAGTTATACTTGATAGTTAATGCGTCCCGCAGGCTGAAAAGTTTGGAGACCCCTGGTCTATAGGATCAGTGAACCAGAGGGGTAGATTTTGGTGGCGTCTATTTCAGAATCAGATTCTAAGCTTCAAGATTATAAAAGGGCTGGAACAAGAGTAGCAGGAAAAATATCGAAAACATTTTCTGAATTGGAAGTTTTTTATCAAATAGTTCAGATTGCAATGATGGCATTTTCCTATGTGAAATACATTATGTGAATACAACCGAATCTTTTGAAAGAATTGGGAAACATACAGAGATTTTACAAAGAAAATCACGTGACACATTTCTTTTGATGACTATATTAAATTTGTTGACATAATGGCCGATTTTCTTAAATCGTTTGAAGACCCAGGCAGACTGAAAGGTGCAGACATGACAATGTCATTACAGATGTCACATTCTGGTGGTGATAAGTTCAGCACAGACAAAAGTTTTGGTCAAATGAAAACAGAGTTAAATAAAAGTTACAAACAGATCAGTTCTTCTACATTTGAGGACATGGTGGATGATAAGATTAAGAATTTAACTCTTGATGTAAACAAAACATTACAGGTCATGGAAAAAAATAACTCAATTTAAAGACAGAGTTGAATAAAAATAAGTCGGCTGTTTTAAACGAATCAATCCAAACAATGTTAGCCAACACAAATAACCAAACAGAACAACTCAGTATCAGATTACACAAGGTGGAATTTCTTATAAAGAAAACTGCCTCAGAAGAGACTATGAACAGTACGACACACGAGGCAGATGGTCTCAACACAATTCCTCTACAAGAATTGCCAGATAAAAACATCGATCACCCATTGATTTTAAATCTATGAAACAGGTAATTAATTTTACAGGAAATAATAAGTGTTTGGATTTTGTACAGTAATGTGACGGTGGGAAATGAAGCAGATTGTATTGGATAAAGTTTACATACAAGACAGGCAATACCACAGACAACTTAGGTACACACAACCAAATGGCTTTTTCTACTTTAGATAAAGACAACGATAGGTGGTCTAGTAACTGTGCTGGGGTATATAAAGGCGGCTGGTGGTATATCGCATGTCATAGTGTGAACGTAAACGGTGTATGGGCTAATAAAGTTTATGGACAAGGCATTAACTGGTACAATATAACAACACATAATGGTTCTCTAGAGCAAGTTGCTGATTTTACAATCATTACAAGAATGTACAATTTTAAAGTTCACATTACCAAACATTTGCTACTACGTAAATATTAAACTTATTGTACAATGATAGCTTTATATTAATGTGGACTTCCTTTTTATTATATAACTAAAAATATATACCAGTGCTAACGTTAATAAAAACAAATATTAAAAAAGATTTCTCTAACAACGTGCTGTTCACTTATGAAGGCAAATCTATATCAACAAGCTTGTATTCTCCTTTCTGTATTAGATCCATGTATTTGAACCTGCTTAATACCAATAACTACATCAATACATTTCATAAATTGTTGCATACAATTGCAATGTAAATTATTTTTAAAGGGGCATTACTATCTAAGATTTCAATTATAAAGTTACACATTGTTTTCTATGTCTAACGATACATAACCGTTAATAAGTTGTTTATTATATATTAACATACATTGATGTGGTCCTGGTAGTACTTTTATTATGCATGTTCTGCATATTGACGAGATAGTGTTTCCCAAATCTACTTAGCTTTGTAGGTAAGTAACTCATTTTTAAATAATGTTATTTTCATTTAATTTATCGCTCCCTTGTGTTTTAGTGCTGTGTTTTTTTGAGAAAGAAATTAAACAAAACATAACAATAAAATAAATGCATTTTACAAGTTTGATATTACACAGTTAAAAAGAAATAAAACCTGTCTTTTCATTAATAAATTAACAAATCTTTCTGAATTTGTTTTATTACTTTATTTATAACAAGTTTTTCACTAATATGTTATGGACAGCTTACTATCCCACCACCAAGCCCCAACACATAGAACCTAATACTGTCACCTTCGAATAGAACCTCACATGGTAAAACACTACACACAACCATAACCGAATAAGTATTTATGTAAACACAATTTAATACTTATCAGAGGTGTTATTTGAATTGAGTTAATTAACAGACTCATTATCTCCCATTTGAGAAAGCATGAATAAAAAGAGCATAAGTAGTTTATTAAAGTGTTATATACTGTTGTGAGTTGTAAAGATCTTTATTTAAAAATAGAGTGTTTAGGACTTGATCATGACTTTGATATCGGAATAAAAATAACCTTGCGACAAATACTAGAATAAAACAATAAATAGAAAAGCCCCCTCTATGCTTCATTCATTGATTTTGAAAAGGCTTTTTTTTACTCTGGACAGAAACAACCTCTTGAAAATCTTACTACGGTTTTCCAGAAAGAATCATAAATGACATCAAAATCATATAGGAAGGGTTCCAATGCAACACACATAACTCTTCTTGCCAGCAGTCAAAAAGATCTGCATTATTCAGTAGCATTTTTTTTTATCTAACTTAAACACGGATAAAAAAAAATTGTGTGCGTGTGACCGAGCATCTTGGTCGTACAGGTCAAAGTTAGCAAGCTGGTGAGGATTAATAATATTGCTCACCCCACGAGTCCGTTTTTTTCGCCACGTGCGCTACGTGCCGCGCTGGTGCAGTGTAAAGCGCGTATACTTCACGAACTGCACGACTGATGTCTGTAAAATAGTTATTATGATGGTTTTACGTCCGGCTATAAAACTTGGTTATACACCAATTTCAGTCTTTTAAAATAGAAAAAAAAACATTCCAAAAGCCTGATCAAATTGGAATACCTTACGAGAAAGTTCAGGGGAGATCACTCCCGCTTTATTTTCCTCAATATTTCAGAACAATAGAATAGCATAACTAAAAACAGTTTGAATACCAAAATGGTGAAAAATAAATAAATAATAGCTCGGGAAATTAGTGCTCTATATTAGAAACAAAAATGAAATCGTTTAAAGTTAAATAAACAACAAAATAAACATCAAATTAAGTGCAATTGTATATCACATTGCACTGCAATTAAGTCTTAAACCTATGATAAGTTTGCAACAAATTGGTCAGGTGGAAAGGTTTACATTTAGCTCGCTAGTTGGATCCACGAGGGACGAAAAACAAAGCAAGAGGAAGAAGGTTAAATAAAAACTTGCATAATATGTTTTATTTACAAACGCAGGTCTTAAAAGATAAATATAAAATTTCTTAAAGTGTACGGGGAAAGTGGTTTCAAAATACAGCACATGTTTTAGCGGTCTCATGCTTAGATATGCGTGTCTGATATTTCATGAAACGTATACAGGTTTTAAGTTAGTGTTATGATAACTCTCTGATTGCTATGTTATCCTGCCTTCGTTTAAACAATTTCCACATCTGTAATCTGATTTTGATGCCACTTTATAATGGCTGTTGATTTCTCCGTTAAGTGTGTCAGTTTTATCTCGTCTAGAGTAAATTTGCTGTATCAGTTTCACGTGTAATCTCGAACTTTTAAGCTAAACATTAGAATTTTATCTTGTAACCGAAATATTTAAGTGTTTGCTAGTAAACAAAAGCTTAAGAAATTGTGCCAATGTCTAAGTAAAAAACATTCTTATCACATTCATCTTATGAGCTTTGCATTTGTGTAAGCAGTAACTCAAGTTTTAATGACGTCAAAGGGAAAGGGCGTAAAGAAAGATACTGGACGACCCTATTTAAACCAGCCCGCATTTCTGTTTTAGTAGTTAAAATTTGTCTCGCTAACTTTGGCTGTTTTGTGTGTGTTCATATATTTTTTAAAGAAAAACAACATTACGACTACAATGATTTTCACAGTGTTGTATGTGCTCGTCGTAGTAAATATTATTTCCAGTACAGGTAGGTGTCTGTTGCTAAAATTTGATATACCAAACTGAATTTAAACAATGCACTTTTAACACGTACATATGATTGAAATTAATAGAAAAGTTAGTTAATCAATGTATTACGTAAATTTAAGAAACAAATACACCTTTAATAAACAAATATACATTTTCTATTCTAAAATGTATAAGGTCTTTAAAAAAAAATCCACATAAGTAAATATTTTTAAAATATACAACTCAACAGCCAAATGGGAATCAGAAAAACTTGCATCCTCGTTCAATCGTTAAAAGGTTTTGCTCTCCCCTTCTTCTCTCTTATGGCACAGTGTCCTGTATTATTGCTTTGGATAAGCAGTTTGTTCTTGTGACATGACCATATATTATTTATAATTTGAGTGAAAAAATATACAAGAACAAAAGTCAATTATTTTCAACAATATACTCAATATCATATTGGAAATATTGCTGTTCTATGTATTTTCAGGATTAAAAATTGACATTAACAGAGAATATTTTTACCACGGCAAGAATTTATTTTGTGGACAACTCCAATGTACAGAAAACATAAGAGAAGACACTCAGATATCAGCTCTTGTCAACATGTCAGTCTATAGGATCAGTGAACCAGAAGGGAAGATTTTGGTGGCGTCTATTGCTGAATCAGATTCAAAGCTTCAAGATTACAAAAGGGCTGGAACAAGAGTAGATGGGAAAATATCGAAAAAGTTTTCTGAATTGGAAGTTTTTTTATCAAATAGTTCAGACTGCAATGATTGCATTTTCCTATGTGAAATACATTATGTGAATACAACAGGATCTATTAATAGAATTGGGAAACAGACGGAGAGTTTACCAAGAAAATCCCGTGACACATTTCTAATAATGAACCTGAAAGCTAAAACTTCTGACTATGTTAAATCTGTTGACAAAATGGCCGATTTTCTCAAATCGTTTGAAGACTCAGACAGACTGAAAGGTGCAGACATGACAATGTCATTACAGACGTCACATTCTGGTAGTAATAAATTCAGCACAGAGACAAGTTTTGGTCAAACTGATACAGAGCTAATTAACAGTTATAAACAGATCAGTTCTTCTACATTTGAGGACATGGTGGATGATAAGATAAACAATTTAACTCGTGATGTAAACAAAACATTACATATAATGGAAAACAAACTGAGTTTGAAGACAGAGTTAAACAAAAATATTTTAGGTCTTTTAAACGAATCAATGCAAACAATGTTAGCCAACACACAGAACCAAACAGAGCAGCTCAGTGTCAGATTAAATGAGATGGAAATAAACATAAAGAAAAGTATCACACAAGAGAATATTAATACAACAATAAACTTGGTAGCCGGTCTCAACAAAACTCTACAAAGTTTTATAGACGAGTACTACAAAAATCCTATGAACCTAAAATTAACAAAACAGGTAAACAATTTTTTTATGTCTATCTTTAAGGTGAAAATATTAATTTCATTGAAAGAAACTATTATGATTGCCGTAATAAATTGCTTTTATCAAACCTCATTTAACTAAATTATTTTGATTAGTAAATAATGTTAAAATAAAC